AAGTTTTATGAAAATGTCACATTAAACAACTGTCTAAATCTACGTTATTTTTTATAAATAAGGCCGTAAACATTTCCTTACATCGTCGATTTCCATATTCTATTTTTACTCTTTCAATTTCACTGACCAGCGCTGCAAACGATATCAACTAGTAGGCTAACAACCAGAATTGAAATTTAATACGCAAGTACTTACCGTACTACAAGTATACAGAGAGTAGATTTGCTACTCCCTTTTGGCAGCAGCAAATATCTCTCGTACGCGATGAGAGAAAGTAGAGTACGTACTTTGGTGGAGTAATAGCAAGTACGTCAAGTATTTACTCTCTCAACGCCGAGTAGTTCATGTATGCGGAAAAAGAGTAACAATGTGTTGGGAGTAGAGTACAATGCAAGGAGTACTTATTGAACGAAATGCGGCAAATACACTTGCGCTGGACTCTAGTACAGACATATGTATGTACAGTTCTCACCTAAAATAAGTTTGGTAATCTTTTGTTGAGTTTGGTAGCTTTTTCTTGTGATGTCGGTAAAAAATAAAAAATGTTGTGGCAACACCGTCCTTTCGACTTGACCGTTTGCCTGTGGTGAAGCCGTCGCCACTTTAACATGACTGCTATTATTTTTGAGCAGGAAATCACTAAATTCATATAAGATGAAACACGTTCCACCGTCCGTAATCACTCGCCTCGGTCGCCTATATTAATTTAAGTTTTTTTGCTAAAGAGCAGCAGACGTCCTTCGTGCTCATAGAGTTAACTGGGTACAATTTAACAAATTTTGTAAATGCGTCTACCATAACAAGTATGGCGCATATTCATAGTCATATTTAGTACTCAACTAAGTCGAAACTATTCTAAGTCACAACTAAAGCTATTCATAGTCGCCTTAGTTTCGACTTTTCTGGCTAAGTACCAACTTAAAATTTAGTTTCGGCTGCAGCTGCAACTAAGTCGAACTAGGAAGAAGTATTTTATCAAATTAAGGGGAAAACAGACGAAATATGTAAAAATTAAGTTGGTAGAGGGTGATTTTGATAATATTGAATAATCTCCAATTAAAATTTACAAAGATCGATCCATTTTAATCGGAAGATGAAATTAAATGCGTATTACAATTCGAATAAAGCTACATCACAATTTTATAATTGGAATAATTTAGATAAATTCTCAAATAATAAGTCAGTTTCACGCTAGTTCTTTTAAAGTAAATTTGTGCATAACATTTAGATATCTACTATTTGTATGTTTCACAGCATGCTTTCGATAAACATCGACTTCACATCACTGCGGTTGTTCTGGCTATTTCACACAATTAACAAGAAAATGATACCTTATTCTTTTGCATAATCATGCAATGAAAATAAAAATTACATAAACGGATGATCAAACTTGACATTATTTAATAAAAATGTAATTTTTCCAAAATATCGTAAAGAAAAATCGATACATTTTCACACTCATTTTGCTATATCGTAAACTAAGTCGAAACTACTTAGTAGAAGTCTGAAATGCGACTATGAATAGAGGTAAATTTTAAGTTGGTACTTAAATTTAAGTTGCAACTTTGTTAGTTTCGACTTAGTTGCTGGACTATGAATACGCGCCTATGTGTTTTCGTTTCGATTTAAGTGAGGGCAACGGCTCGAAATGATAAATCGTTGCCATCTGAAAAGTAAATTCGTATAACATAAACATAGGGCCAAAGCAGAGCAGCCATACGAGGTTTCTAGTAACGAGTTTTCTATTAGCCTATATAATCATATATGCAAGGTATAACCTACACAAATTTTACTGAAATCTGTACCAAGGTTTTTGAGAGAAGCGGCCATCGTAACATAGGCCCCTATTATGAGTTGCATTCGATTTTCGACTGTAGTCGAAAGTGCTGAGCGAACGAATTTTCATATGGTATTATGGCGCTCATTCGATGAAGAATAGCGCTATTGTGAATTGCGCTCGTTTAGGTTGTTCACAATAGTATATTTTTGACAGCTGAGATGCTTTGTTTACATATTAAGCAAACTAAAAGAAAAGAAAGCGTGTTTATTACAACGTTTTATGTAAATTTGTGTTAATTAAAATTAAGTAAAAAATAAAGCGAGCTGATAAGAACTTTGTGAAGATGAGTACAACGGAGTTATGGTTCGACGATTCCTCAGAGGATGAGAGTTTAGTGGAACTGGCCAGGAATAGAAAACGTTTAAGGGACGCTTCCAATCCCTTAGAAATGAATTCAACCGCGTAAGTCTAGCCTTTTGAATATATTTTCACATATTTATATAATATTTATAATTATTTGTCTACAGATTTATAAAAAACTTCCGACTGTCTAAAGAGGCGTTTGTGGACCTGCTGTCCGCTACAGAAGACCTGCTGCAGCAATGCACTCGAGCCAAATCTATTGCAAATATCTTAAAACTAGCAACAGTTCTGCGATTTTGTGCTCAGGGATCGTACCAACTGAGTATTGGGAATGAAGATATGCTTGGGCTTGCGCAGCCCACGGTGTCTGTGGTGATATCAGAAGTGCTTGATGTTTTGGAAAATTTCATTTGCCAAAGATGGATAAAATTCATATACACAGGGGTTGAACTGCAACAAGCGAAAGCACATTTTTACAGCAAAAGCAGAATTCTAGGAATAATCGGCTGTGTTGATGGGACGCACACTAAAATTGTCGCTCCCAAGAAGGAATTCCAGCATTTATATTAGAACAGAAAAGGATTCTTCAGCATTAATGCTATGGTTGTAAGTATATATATTTTCGTACATACATGCTAAGAATCTCTAATTGTAGATGTGTACACTTTTGTATTTTTTTAGGTTTGTGATCACACAATGAAAATAAGATACATAAATGCAAAAAATCCGGGAGCGACACATGATTCCATGGTTTTTCATATGTCATCATTGAAAGCACACTTAGAACAGCAACATCATAATGGTATTCGTAATACTTGGCTACTGGGTATGATCAAATACAAAACCTACATTTATTTCCTTTTTTTAAATTATTTTTATCCACGTTAGGTGATGCTGGTTACGCTCTAAAACCATACTTGATGACGCCGTTCAGAAATTCCGAGGAAGGATTTCCTCAAAGAACATACAACAAACAACATGCAAAAGCCAGAAATATTATAGAGCGAACAATCGGAGTTTTAAAAAATAGATTCAGATATTTATTGCAGGCGAGAGCTCTTCATTACACTCCAAAGAAAGCTACACAAATAATAAATGTGTGCGCAGCTTTGCACAACATTTGTCAATTCTATAATGTAGAAATACCCGACGGAGAAGAGTTTTCAAATGAGCCTCACGACGATGATGCCGGAGTCGTTGAGATGGAATCAATTGAGAATTCAGAAGCAGAAGACATCAGAAATGAAATTTTAAGAACCTTGTAAATAACTGAAAAAGTATTAATAAAGGTATTCCAGTCTCTTTTATTAAATTCATAAATATTATTGGTTTAAGATATGAAGGTACATATNGCCATTGCCTGCCGAGGGACGACCGCTGTTAAGAAAAAACCTTTTTTCTATATTTTTTTGCGATGTTGCTTTGACCAGGGCTTGAACCCAGGCGTTGCGGAGTGGAAGCGCGCACTGCTTACCACTACACCACAGCGGCCGACATACAGCGGCCGAGGTACATATGCACATTAAAAATTGAATAAAAAATCACATAAATTCATGGTTTTAAAAAATCTACATAAAAGTTTTTACAGCCTTTCTCAATTCATATCACAGGCAAAAAATATCATTAATTCACTTACATATATGACTTAAAGATTAATAAAGCCTTCTTAATACTACTAAAAAATTAAAACTTGAATGCATTCGCTAAAAATATAATTATAAGTTATGGTTTAGGCAACATTTTTTTCTTCATTTCTAAAAGTGCAACCTTTAGTTGCAATTTTGCTTTCCGATCTTGCTGCTTTCTCATAACTTCACTTTTATAAATTTCTAATTTTTCTTTTTTCATTTGTAAAAGTTCTTTGGTTGAGTCTTTTTTTAAGTAGTACGTTCTTTTTGCATATTTTTCAGTTTCCCTAGCACTTTTTTTAATTTCATTTATGTTCGAAATTACGTTTTCATAAAAAGCCTTCTGGGCATTTGTCTGGGCTTCCAACAACCTCAGTCTCTCCGTTTTGTGGCACCGTTTTTTTCTGGGGGTTCGTGTTGTATTTTCGCCAAATACATAGTTTCGGGCCCTTATTATGAGTATATAAAGTTATAAAAGTGAAGTTATGAGAAAGCAGCAAGATCGGAAAGCAAAACTGCAACTAAAGGTTGCACTTTTAGAAATGAAGAAAATAATGTTGCCTAAACCATAACTTATAATTATATTTTTAGCGAATGCATTCAAGTGTTAATTTTTTAGTAGTATTAAGAAGGCTTTATTAATCTTTAAGTAATATATGTAAGTGAATTAATGATATTTTTTGCCTGTGATATGAATTGAGAAAGGCTGTAACAACTTGTATGTAGATTTTTTAAAACCATGAATTTATGTGATTTTTTATTCAATTTTTAATGTGCATATGTACCTTCATATCTTAAACCAATAATATTTATGAATTTAATAAAAGATACTGGAATACCTTTATTAATACTTTTTCAGTTATTTACAAGGTTCTTAAAATTTCATTTCTGATGTCTTCTGCTTCTGAATTCTCAATTGATTCCATCTCAACGACTCCGGCATCATCGTCGTGAGGCTCATTTGAAAACTCTTCTCCGTCGGGTATTTCTACATTATAGAATTGACAAATGTTNCCTACATCATAGAATTGACAAATGTTGTGCAAAGCTGCGCACACATTTATTATTTGTGTAGCTTTCTTTGGAGTGTAATGAAGAGCTCTCGCCTGCAATAAACATCTGAATCTATTTTTTAAAACTCCGATTGTTCGCTCTATAATATTTCTGGCTTTTGCATGTTGTTTGTTGTATGTTCTTTGAGGAGATCCTTCCTCGGAATTTCTGAACGCCGTCATCAAATATGGTTTTAGAGCGTAACCAGCATCACCTAACGTGGATAAAAATAATTTAAAAAAAGGAAATAGATGTAGGTTTTGTATTTGATCATACCCAGTAGCCAAGTATTACGAATACCATTATGATGTTGCTGTTCTAAGTGTGCTTTCAATGATGACATATGAAAAACCATGGAATCATGTGTCGCTCCCGGATTTTTTGGATTTATGTATCTTATTTTCATTGTGTGATCACAAACCTAAAAAAATAGAAAAAAGTGTACACATCTACAATTAGAGATTCTTAGCATGTATGTACGAAAATATATATACTTACAACCATAGCATTAATGCTGAAGAATCCTTTTCTGTTGTAATATAAATGCTGGAATTCCTTCTTGGGAGCGACAATTTTAATGTGCGTCCCATCAACACAGCCGATTATTCCTGGAATTCTGCTTTTGCTGTAAAAATGTGCTTTCGCTTGTTGCAGTTCAACCCCTGTGTAGATGAATTTTATCCATCTTTGGCAAATGAAATTTTCCAAAACATCAAGCACTTCTGATATCACCACAGACACCGTGGGCTGCGCAAGCCCAAGCATATTTTCATTCCCAATACTCAGTTGGTACGATCCCTGAGCACAAAATCGCAGAACTGTTGCTAGTTTTAAGATATTTGCAATAGATTTGGCTCGAGTGCATTGCTGCAGCAGGTCTTCTGTANCTTTTTTTTTTTTGTACATGATGTGTTATATTTTGTTTATTTGGCTTGTGTGCCTATTTAACCAAATGAGTAAACTGGAGTGCTTATTGTTTGGTTGTTTTTTTTTTTATTATTACTAGTGGTGTTATACTGCTTTAAGTCTATTCTTATGAATTATGATTTCTTTATTGTTTTTATTGCTATTTCCTATGCTATGTGGTATTAAAGTAAAATTGTTATTCTTATCAATATTTTTAACTTTGTAGTGTCCGTTATATCTATTCTCTAACTTATGGGAGGCCTCTTCTCTAACTAATACTAAATCTCCTATGTTTATTTCCTTACTATAGCTACTTTTATCATAATTCGTTTTTTGCTTTTCTTTAGCCTCTTGGACTAATTTCTTAGCTCTTTGCTGGGCTATTTGAAGTCTATATTTTACCTCTTTGTCGTAAGCTTCGTGATTGTGCAAAGGGCTGATTTTATTTTCTTTTAAGAAATCGTAGTTCGGTCGGTTTTTTGCAAATATTAGTTCAAATGGGCAATATTTGTGTGTGGTAAATGGCGTCGTATTGTAACAATACGCGAAATACCTGAGGTATTCATCCCAATCGTCTTTGTCACTGGATATGTATGAACGTATGTATTCATTGAATGTCCGGTGACTGCGTTCTACAGTACCCAAAGTTTGATGATGGTACGGTGTTGAAGTTTTATGTTCAATTTTTAACAATTTACACAGTTCTTTGAATAATTTGTTTTTGTATTCTGTGCCCATGTCTGTCGTGATTGTTTTCATTTGTCCATAAATCAAGATGAAATGCTCGAACACGGCTTTAGCGGCTGTCGTTGCGTGTTTGCTTGGGACTGGGATAGCTACCAAGTATTTGGTTAGATCGCATATAATGATAACTGCATACTCGTTTCCATTTATCGACTTCGGTAATGGTCCGACTGTATCGATTTGTACAATATCAAATGCCTTCGGAGGTGTCTCCGTTATTGTCATTGGTTCTTTTATATGCTTGTTAGTCTTATTTGACAGCCGTCTGGGCTGTAGCTTTCTTGGGTAGCAGCTGGATGTAGGGCTGAAGACTGGGTGTTGTAGCGGTGGCGATCGAATGCAAGCAGCTAATGAATTTGCGGGCGGCTGGTGGACTGGCGGTCGATTGGATGGTTGGTGGATTAGCTGGCGCCTGGAAGATGAGTCGGCGGCTGGACGAATGGTAGGCTGGCAGGCGGCTGGATGCGGGAAAGCGATAGCCTCAGCTCGATGGCAGGGCGACTCCGGTCGATGACGGACTTGTGGCAGCAGTTGGTTGACCGAACGGAGGCGATGAACTCGCGAGTAGTAGTTCGCACGCGCGAAAGTCTAGTTTTACACAACAAAATCTATTGCTGTGCACCAACACTGGTAGCAAATACACCTTGCAACTTGCAAAAGGGATGACACGCAAACCGATTCAATTTAATAATAAAATGTTTATTTGAGAATTTCAAAAATGCGTTTTACAATTAAATAGTGACTATAGGGCACTGTCGGTGGAGCACAAAACGAGCGAGATCACGATGCGTGGACGACAAGGAATTTTTTCCGATGAAAAATTTGTATGTTTTTTATGTGTCTGCATACATAGGTATACATACAGCGCTGAGTCTGTAGACTTACAGTGAGTCACAGTGAAAGTGAGCCACCACTTATTTGAAAATATTTGTTAAAATAACCTTTGTAAAAACTCCCTTACACCCTTTATTTCTTATTTAGTTTTAAAAGTAAGTATGTTTGCTTGCATTCTAACGGTATTTTTTGTTTTTGCTCGCAATCGAAGTAGGAGTAATAAAAAAAAACAAAAACAAGTGGGGCAACTCGCGTCACACTCAAAGTGAGCCACCTAATGTTGTTTCTTTTAAAATAACGGTATATCTATTTTCGGATATAAATTTTTGCTCGCATCTTATTGTTGGTTCATTAGTTGTGTATTAACAAGCAATAAGTGAAGATGGGTCGACAAACAAGTATTGAAATTAGAGAGTTAATAATTGAACTTCACAAAAAGCGAAAATCTCAAAGAGATATTGCAGAATATGTGAATAAAAGTCGAGGAACTGTCCAGCACATCATACATCGCTTTATTAGAGGGGGAAGAATAGTAAACAAGCAGAGGGAGAGCAAAAAAAAGGCGTTTTCGGAAAGAGATGAGGCATTTATTATACGGGAAATCAAGAAAAATCCTCATCTAAGTGCCCCAAAATTGACAGAGGTGGTTGAAAATCAATTAAATATCCACGTTAATCCCGAAACTGTAAGAAGGGTCCTCAGAAAGCACGGCTATAATGGACGAACGGCCAGAAACAAGCCTTTTATTAGCAATAAAAACCGTAAAAAACGGCTGGAGTTTGCGCGCAAATATGTTCATAAAGATATGCATTTCTGGCAAAAGGTATATAACGGTAGAATACACTTTTGAGGCTATAGTAATATTTTGTTTTAGGTTCTATTTACCGACGAAAGTAAATTTAAGTTATTTGGCTCAGACGGTAAGAAGATGGTATGGAGGCAAAAGAACTCCGAGTTTCAGCAGCAAAACCTTACTCCCAGTATGAAGCACGGCGGTGGCTCTGTCATGGTTTGGGGCTGCATGGCAGGTGGTGGCACTGGAAATCTGCAACATATTCCAGGCATTATGAATAAATATGTTTATATAGACATTTTAAAGCAAAATGTTAAGCCAAGTGTTGAAAGACTAGGCATCGAAGGAGACTTTTATTTTTACCAGGACAATGATCCCAAGCATAAATCCTTTGTTGCGCGGGAAAGGCTACTATATAATTGTCCCCATGTACTGGAAGTACCCCCACAATCTCCAGATTTAAATATAATAGAAAACTTGTGGGCTCGTCTTGACCAAAACGTGCGAAAACATAGTATTTCGTCGAAAAAGGGCCTTTTAGATGCCTTACAAGCGGAGTGGCATGCAATTCCATCAACATATACCTGCGGTTTGCTAGAATCAATGCCAAGACGTTTACAAGCCGTAATTTCTGCGAAAGGAGGCCCAACAAAATATTAATTTGTTATTTAAGTTAATTTTGGTTTAGGTGGCTCACTTTCACTGTGACATAGATTTATGAATTATTTTAGTTTTTGTTGATTTTTTTATAGTAAACAAAGGAAATATTTTATGTACGTGATGAATTACTGAAGCTTAATATTCAAACAATAAATGAACATAAAAGTTGTTTCAATCTGTGTTGTTTTTCATTATTTTTTCACATAATTCTGTTAACTAGATAGTGTGGCTCACTTTGACTGTGACTCACTGTATGTCAAAGTGCTGAATTGTGCTGACACCGATGTTTCCATGTGATACTAATTAACATTTCATACTTCATTTACGATATTTCATTTACGATATTTCATTTGAATGAATAATAATGGAAATTTGAATTCAGAACAGTTTGGTTATACAAAGTTATATGTTTTTTACAAGTTAAGCATTTTTTACAAATCTAAATGCTAAACACGGCGGCCTCGCTTGGACATCCTGCCCCCTCTAGGCGCACTAAGCGGCTAGGCTGCTCTGAACCTCCTTCAGCGTTCGGATCGCGTTTTGTACCAAGAATTTAGTAGTTTTACCATTAATTGCTTGTGTGGGCGACGGTGGTGACTTCTTGCGACTACTGGTTGGACGGCGCTGCTTCGGTGGTGGCATACGCTTTCTGCCTCCGTGGCGCTGCTTTGGTGGTTCCGTGCAATGGTTGCCTACTGGGCGCTGCTTGGGCGGTTTGGAGCGAATCGAGCTTCGATGGAGGAGTGTGTGGTGTAGCTGTCCACAGAGTCTACAGGCTGCGGCTGATGAGCACTCCTTGCGTTGGTGGGACAATGCAAGGCAATTCGTGCAAAAGCCATGCGCTTGTGCGACAAGGTATCGCTGCCTAGGTTGCATCGCCCGAAAAACTCCACAGGCACGCAGCGCGTGATGCCGAGCACATAATCGGCATCGTTGATAGTCGTCCTTCTTCGGTGGCGGTTCGGCGACCGGGTCAGGCGGTGCCACCGTTGTCGACAGTCGCGTGTGGCGAGGTGCTGGTTGAGGTGCAGGTCTGGGTGCTGGTCTGGATGCTGGTCTAGGTGCTGGTTTCGGACTACTGCCGGTGTCGATTTCCATCTCCATCTGTAAGGATATGTATGGTCGAATGGCGGCAATTAGTGGGGCGATTTTATTCAAGCTAATTGACGGGAGAGCATATGGGGTTGGGGCATACACATATATTTTTATAAGGAT